GGTTATTACTGTTGAACAATTTCTGTTTTCTATTTGTCATCAGGCCACTAAAGATCTGGAGAACTATGACAAAGAGAGACACGAGGAGTTCAAGAGGTACGAAATGATGAAAGAGCACGACAGACGAGAACACCTGAAAACACTGGATGATGACGAGAGGAAGAAAGAGGAGGAACACTATGAGGAGATGAAGAAGAAGCACGCCGACCACCCTAAAGTCAACCACCCGGTAAGTGACGAAGGTGCACAGAGAAAAATAAATGATATATTTTGTTGTTGTTGTTGTTTTTTTTTGTCCAGATTGTAATATTCATTTTACCTCAATCTGGAAATCAAATGTGTTTTTACTTCAATGATGCAGGGAAGTCAGAATCAGCTGAAGGAGGTCTGGGAGGAAGCTGATGGCTTAGATCCTGAAGATTTTGATCCTAAGACATTCTTCAACCTGCATGGTAAGACCTGTACTATCATTTACTAACATACATAATTTGCTCTGTAAAACATACAGTACTAGAACACGGCACATTCGCCTTCTTTTCTCTTTTTCAATAATACAGATACAAATGGAGATGGCTTCTTTGATGAACAGGAGTTGGAGGCATTGTTCACCAAAGAGGTAAAGCTGTGGCTTCTGAAAATGTGTAAATATTTCAGAGTAGGTCTTTGTACTGACTGTGGGCCTCTGTGATTTCAGCTGGAAAAGATTTATGACCCCACCAACGAGGAGGACGACATGGTGGAGATGGAGGAAGAGAGGCTACGTATGAGAGAGCATGTTATGAATGAGGTACAACAAGCTGCACTCAGCAACCTGTTTTCCTGAAACTATGCAGGTGAAAAAGCCGATCCTGGATTAGTTGGGCCAAAATTGTTCTGTGTGTGAAATATACCGTATTTCCCGGACTACAAAGCGCACCTGAATATTAGCCGCACAAGCTAAAATCAGGGGAAAACCCTGTTTTGTACATACATTAGCCGCACCTGACTAAAAGCCGCAGGTGTTTCAATGTTGACTTATCATATGTAAGAGAATATGCACAAAGGGAATTGTCAGGAAAGAGATGGCTGTTTGGAGACACACCCCTTTTATTAATATTTTGAAAAACAAGTTATGGGTACATATTTGCACATGTAGTACATAACAGTAACCTACAGCACACCAGAAAAATAGATTCGGACTACCTTTTAGGCTCAGGTGCAGTGACACGGCTTTAACAAGAAGAAAAGTCAGTCATTCACCATCTTTCTCTTCTTCCTGCGCTCTAAAACCACCAAAGTCCTCTTCTCCAATGTCGGATACAAACAGGCTCAGGATGGCTTCGTCATCCACTCTCCGCTTCTCTCCTTCGTTATCACTTTCAAAACCAAAGAAATCCTCGTTGTCAGTGTCAGAGTCGAACACCCTCAGAAGGGCCGTGGCGGTGTCCTCCTCTCCATCATGCAGCAGTCCAGCCCTTCAAAATCCGTTGGTGATCGTGGATGTTTTCGCACTTTTCCACGCTGTCAGAATCCACCGGTGGAGTTGGGCATAACTTGCTTTTCGCAAGTTTATCGCCGCTCGTCATCCACGCCTCCCGCTGAATGCGTAGCGCTACTTTGAAGTTTGTTTTTCGCGCTACTTCGTACGGCACTACGTTGCCTGGCGGACGGACATGTGACTAACATACCACTCTTGAACCCCGATCCTTCCGCCAGGCAACGTAGTGCCGTACAACAGCGGAACAAACAAAACAAATCGTCTTACGATATCACAAAAATCATGGAAAATCCATAGAAAAGCCGCACCTGACTAAAAGCCGCAGGGTTCAAAGCTTGTGCAAAAAGTAGCGGCTTATAGCCCGACAATTACGGTACATAGGGTAATATTTAGCATCATTAATTCTAATGTAGTAATATTCACAATCGCAGTCCTCTACTACCTTTAATGCAGCTCATCAGTTTGTTAAAAGGTTGGAAGCACAAAAACTTTATGCGTGTGGACAGTTAGTCTCCATAATTCAAAGCCTGTGACTAAAGTCACATGACTGACTTTAGTGACTACAGAAACAAAATAGAAAAGACACCTAAAGCTCATTCTCGGTCTCAGCTGGGTTTGCATCTTGTGTTAAACAGGCGCCACTGTGTTTTATCTGCCTTAGTCCTTTCAGTGAATAAGAAAATATACAACTAGTGTTCAAAGCCTTTCTGCTCTTGTCTGTGTCACAGGTGGATTCAAATAAAGACAGGCTGGTCTCTCTGGATGAGTTCCTTGTTGCTACTAAGAAGAAAGAATTCTTGGAGCCAGATAGCTGGGAGGTGAGAAACATTAGATGACACTTTATCATGATAACAGCTTTTATGAGTTATTTAATACAGAAACATTTGGTTAAACAAAGCAGGACTGTAAAAAATGGCTTCCTACCTGCTCTGTGTTCTTCAGACCTTGGAGCAGAACCAGGCTTATACCGATGACGAGATGAGGGAGTTTGAGGAGCATCTTGCTCAGCAAGAGCAAGATCTCAACCAGAAGGCTTTTGACCTCCAGAAACAGAGAGATGAGCTGGAAAGACAACAGGAGCAGCTTAATGCACAGAAAATGGAGCTACAACAGGTAAGGAATAGTACACTACTAATGGAAAAAGGGTTGCTTCTGTAGATTTACAGTCAGTGCATCAATCTGCCCACATCCTAACCTTCACATTTTACCAATTGATTCAGCTGTGCTTATATTGTATTTTAAGCAATCAAATTGTCTGTCCACATGTAGTAAATGAATTCTAATGTACTAAAACTCTACAGGCAGTTGAGCATATGGAACGTCTCAAGTCACAGAAAGTAGACCCTCCTCCAGAGGTTCTCGGTGAGTGTTGATTTTGTTTTTCTCCTACTTTTATTTTGATAGTGGTTTGATTTTAAAGGTCTAACCTCTGAGAATATAAAATTGTTCTCTTTGTTACAATTGAAGGGAACGCCGTCCCAGAAATCCCTGCAGTTGACAGCCAACTGCATGAGGCCCAACAACAAGGACATGACTCTGCACCCCAAGGACATCACCCTGTACCCGAAGGACATGACCCTGCACCCCAAGGTCATGACTCTGCACCCCAAGCTCCTCAGGATATACCACAGGAACACCATGGACAAGAAAATCAAAACCAGGCCCAGCAAGGTCTCCCTCAAACACATGATAATATACCACCTGGTCATCAAGAAGTTGTGCAAAGCCAGAATCAGCTGCCATAATAATGTGCACAAAACTTTACAATCAGACTTTTTCAGCACCTGCACTCGTAAGTGCTGAGGAGCAGTCCCATCAGAGTATAAGGACCTCTTTAACCACCCTGACCAGCATTAGTGGTTTGAAGTGCATTTGAGAAGAACAACCACTCAAAGGGAATCCGTTACCCCAGATTTCAGTCTTGGTGACAGTAATCCCTTCATTACATAATTAAATCACACAGTGAAATGACCTACATGGGTTTGGATCCTGATATGTGCATACATAGATTTTACCACAGTTGTGTTTGCTTACATTGAGGGTGTTTTTTTTTATAGAATCATATAAATAATATTTTGTGAGCTTTCAGACCGGTTGTTTGTTTCCTCTCAAAATGACTTGCTGCTTGCTAAACATCCTGACCCAAGAGCCTTCTGGATATGTACAGTGCAGCTGTTTAAGAAGATAAGGTGTAAAAATACTCATTTTAATTACAGCCTTTGAGATTTAGATTTTTTTAAATTACTATCAATATACTCCAAAAAAACCTGCAAAATAAAAGACATGCATGAATCATGATGGACCTTATGAAAACATACTTCAAGAGTTAACTGCAAGATGTTTGTTTTATTTAATTATGACACTAAATTGGCAAAAAAAAAAAATCTACGGTAGCAAATGCAACAAGCTTACATCATTTTCACACCATCCCCAGACATCGCACTAAAAAAAACTAAGGAATTGATACAAGCAGCCGCTGTGTTGTGTAATGATCTACAAGGTGCTGTCAGATCTGCAGCTATCACTGTGACCTGACATTTACAATCCTTTAACCTTCAACACCTTATGAAGCCAGGTCGCTGTCTTTTTTTCAAATGCTCCCTTTGCTTCCCCTCAAACTACCAGTTTACTATTTTCCTACTATAACACATTTTTTTCTTTATGTGTACAGTTAATTTACTGTACTGAACAGTAAAAGCTCTTAAATAGTGCTTTTGTTAAATAGTATAATGAACTCATGGTCCATACACATGTATTGCTACGTGATTCTGATGAAACAGTTTTGATATTGTTTATTTAAGGTTTACTTTTACCTAACCATCTAGTATTTTGCTGAAACCGTCTGTCAAAGTAAGGCAATGAAAACCTTGAATTTTGTTTCTCTGTTCATTTTGAGGTATTTATGACTTTTACATGAAAGAGAACATATTAGCATATTTGGCAAAATGCTGGTTTGGTGTTACATGCTGTGTTAGCCTGTATGCTTTTGTTTAATGTAAATTTGCTTCTTCAATTCGGGGAGAATAATGAGATATTTGGGAGTTGCTGCCGCTTCTCACTGAAGACCTAAATTTTCAGTCTGTGAGATCTCTGCTTTTTGGTTTTACCTTACACAAAATTTAAGAAACCGTCTTTATTTGCTTTGTCAGTCGTTTCCCGTGTGCCATGCATTATATTTTGCACAAAATGTAAAGCTGGTGTTTGATTTCTTGCTGCTGGATCCAAAGGTCATTTGACAAAATTGCACACCTCACTTAAAATAAAGTGGTTCAGGTTGTCAAACAGATTTCACTGCTAATGTTTGAGCGATGCCTTTCCTGTGGGACATTTACCTCCAGTGAAACCATGAACAGATGCAATGTAATAAAAAGGATGGGCTGTTTCCATAGCTGTTATTGTCATAGCTGAAGGCTGCTCTGAAGTAGACTGAATTCTACATTGGATTGTATTAAGTTAAACTACTCACATGCAAGACCACACAGAATGAAAATGTCAGAAAACAAACAGCTTCAGCAACAGAAGGTAATAGGGCACAACTTTATTGAAACAGTCTCAATCAATAACAGTGTACAAAGAGGTGCAGGCAGGGACACAGGAGTTAAAAAAAAAACAAACAAACAAGAAAATTAAACGTTTTGATGAAAATTATAAAGGGAGTAACAAGTGGCTTACAGCACTCATGGAATCAAATAGACAGTGACGGGGTATTTTTTGCATTTATTTTGTACAAAAAATAAATTAATGAAATCTTTCAAGTTTACAGGAATATCTTTTTGTTGTTTTTCCATCACACGTACTTGCTGATAATCCTACATGTAGTTAATTTCAGCATTTTTGTGACAAAACATCAAAAAGATCTAGACAGACCGAAGCAGGCTGACTGATAAGTAGGCCAGGAGTTAAAAAAATAAGATTACCGATGAGAAACAAAACATTGTTATAAAAGTGAGCTGGGGCAAACACATTCAAAAAATCCTGAATGTTCAACGTGGCGTAATTCGACGGTCCCCGGGATCCTTTAGGATCGCATTGCCTGCACATTACCTCGGGACAAACCACGAGGTCCTTGGGCTGCTCCACGTTTGTAGCCTTGCTGATATCCCTCCTTAAAAGAGATAGTAAGGCTTCATAAGTGCATGTTTTGTATTTATAGTTACGCTTGGTTATAAAAAAGACTGATGTAAATTCAATGCAATGACTTAAATTAATGCATTAACTCTTACCCGCTGATAGGTATTGCTGGAATAGTCCCGAGATGTGTTGAACGGAGTTTGACCGTATCCACTGCTGGGAGCGTTTGAGAACGGTGGACGGTAGCCTTCATATCCACCTGACGACAGAAAGACATTAGTTCAACAGGTGATGCATATTTACTCCTAATCAAAATAAATCACAATATAATTATTGTAAATCTGTGAAACAACATTGGATGCTTTTACCTCTAAATCCATTCGAGGAGCCCCGATATCCATTCATAACGCCACGAGCGTTCCTGGGTCCACCTCTTGGCACAGCTCTGCTGCTGTAGAAGGACTGACCAGACTGCCCAAACCCTGCACCTACAGAGGGATCTTCATGTCCTGGCGTTGAGGACATAATCTGGTCCTGGGGCTGGAATGCATTAACAACTGGACAGAAGAGACACAAAACGACATCAAAATATACGTCACGTACTGCTGGATAAGTTCTAGTACATTTTTAATTTTAGACAAGGTATTAGTGGGTTTAGTTAATTGGAAATTCTAAATTGCACATAGGTGTGGATGCAAATGCCAGTGGTTGTCTGTCTCTTTGTGTTAGTCCTGTATCAGACTGATGACCTGTCCAGGGTCTGCCCTGCTCTCACCCTATGGTGGCTGGGATAGGCTCCCTGATAAGGATGGGCAGAAGAGGATGGAAGGATTTTTTACTTTTAAAATGCAAAATCACCTTCTGAATTCTGAGAAGGCTGCGTGATTTTTACTTATGGCATCCTCACTGACTCATATTTCAACTTTGTTGCAACAGAAAATATTTCTTTTGTGACAAAGTGAAGCTTGGGAACCTCTTGATATCCTAATACATCTTTTACCACTGTGTTCATGCTCTAGGGTTTCCGTACAAAACAAGATGCACACCTGTCTGTAATCTTTCTTGTGGGATGTCAGGCTGGTCGACCACATTTTCTGGCTGGCTGCTAAAGCCCTGTCCATAGCCACCAGGGAACTGGCTAGGCTGCTTCAAGGGGTCTGCTTGGCCATCGGTAGTTGGAGGTACAGGTGCATTCATGTTAAATACCTGAAAAGAGAAACAAATTTTTTCCTCCCCCATTCCTGTCCATATCAATATAACAAAATAAAATAACCACAATACCCGACGATGGCCTGGGGTCAAAGATCTGCGTAGTTTGGGAAGTCTTAAATTGTTGCTCCTTGCACGAATAACTGACCAGTTTTCACTGTGACTAATAAAACATGCCAACCAATCTCTAATACTGACCTATGACTTGTGCAAGTATGAAAGCTGACGGTTTCCTACAGAATGCATCAAGTCCAAACATGCTCACTGTGACACCGTTTAAATGGACCCAATAGAAAGCGTACCGCTTGCACTGACTGGAAAGGTGCTGCGTTGACATTGATGCCTCCAGTGAGGGTGGGTTTGGAGACAGGAGGGAAGGCAGAGGACAGAGAACATGGGGCAGGAGACGGTGCAGATGACAGAGACATTGAGGCCTGGGTAAGTAAAAGAGGAGGGAATTTGGAAGGCAAGGAAACAACGAATATGGAGAAGTCAGTGCAAGAGATGAGATGATTTTCTTTTGGCTTAAAAAGTTCCCTTTTCTGTTATTATAATATTCAAATGAATCAAATATCTCCCCATCGCACGCAGTAGACAACAAAAAAAAGATGTGTCGGAGAGCATCACATTCAATCCATGGAGAAGACCTTTCGAAATCTCTCTTCATAATACAAAAACAATCTGAACTCCAATTATTCATGAGCTGCACCACTTAGCCAGAAGAGCAGTCTCACCACCCATATCCTGCAGGGGCTCCTCCCTACTTACTTGTGAGGATTCCTGTGGTCCAGACACTGCAGCTGTCTGAGGAAGTCTGGACTCTGAGTGGACTGTTCAGAAAGACATAAAACAAATAAATAAGACAAACTCCTAAAAAAAGACATGCTGCTAAATTATGCACTTTCAATTATATCCACATCAGAAAGCAGCGACCAAACAACTTAATAGGCATGCACTAATTACTAATTGAACCTCTGGCCTAACAGCAAAGTGATCATTTGTGCCCAGGAAACAAAGAAATCCTATTTAAAATATATATACACCGTAATTGTCGGGCTATAAGCCGCTACTTTTTGCACAAGCTTTGAACCCTGCGGCTTTTAGTCAGGTGCGGCTTTTCTATGGATTGTCCATGATTTTTGTGATATCGTAAGACGATTTGTTTTGTTTGTTCCGCTGTTGTACGGCACTACGTTGCCTGGCGGAAGGGCATGTGATCAGACACACAGTATCGGGGTTCAAGAGTGGTATATTGGTCACATGTCCATCCGCCAGGCAACATAGTGCCGTACAAGTAGCGCGAAAAACAAACTTCAAAGTAGCGCTACACGTTCGGCGGGAGTCGTGGATGACGAGCGGCGATAAACTTGCGAAAAGCAAGTTATGCTCAACTCCACCGGTGGAATCTGACAGCGTGGAAAAGTGTGAAAACATCCATGATCACCAACGGATTTGAAGGGCTGGACTGCTGCATGATGGAGAGGACACCGCCACGGCCCTTCTGAGGGTGTTCGACTCTGACAACGAGGATTTGTTTGGTTTTGAAAGTGACAACGAAGGAAAGAAGCTGAGAGTGGATGACGAAGCCATCCTGAGCCTGTTCGTATCCGACACTGGAGGAGAGGACTTTGGTGGTTTTAGTGCGCAGGAAGAAGAGAAAGATGATGGTGAATGACTGACTTTTCTTCTTGTTAAAGCCGTTTCACTGCACCTGAGCCTAAAAGGTAGTCTGAATCAATTTTTCTGGTGTGCTGTAGGTTATTGTTATGTACTACATTTGTTACTCATTTATGAAGCACAGTACATGTTTCGTACTTGTAATTACCGCTACTTGTACATACCTAAAAAGTTATGCAAATATGTACCCATAACTTGTTTTTCAAAATATTAATAAAAAGGGGTGTGTCTCCAAACAGCCATCTCTTTCCTGACAATTCCCTTTGTGCATATTCTCTTACATATGATAAGTCAACATTGAAACACCTGCAGCTTTTAGTCAGGTTCGGCTAATGTATGTACAAAACAGGATTTTCCCCTGATTTTAACTTGTGCGGCTAATATTCAGGTGCGCTTTGTAGTCCGGGAAATACGGTATATATATTTATATTTTAAAGTCTATTGGCCAGTATGAGCAATACTAATAAATCAGTGCATCCATATTCAGTATAACCTGTGAGTAAATGTCACTCACGTAGAGCACCGCCCATCTGTTGCAGGTCAACAGCTTGCACAGGCTTCATTGGCTGCGCAGACACAATGGCTGGATCCAGCGCCTGGCCATCAAACTCCAACATGGAGTCCTACGACAACCAAACAAGAGTAAATGTAAACAGATGAGATTTGCAATCAGTCCAATAAGCAAGCGAGCACGTCTGTTTCATACCCATAATCCTTCACTCCACATTAGGAAAATACCTCAACTACAAACAACCTTGACTAAAAGGATCTTAGTACCAACTCCCATGTAAGCACATCTTCCTAAAACCTGGGATAATCATGATCTCATTTAAATTGTACTTCTTTTGAATTTTTGTCCCAAATGGGGAATGGGTTTTTTCCCTGTTTCGATATTTTACTTTTTTTTTTTTTTTTTTTTTTTTTTTAAGTTCACATTCATATATCAGAAATTACAACTAGATTCGTTTTCTGAGTCACAACAAGTACGTTCTTGTCTCATGACCTCTAGCACGACTTCATAGATTGTTGTAAATTGCCTGGACATGCAGTCCTCATCTTTGGCCAACCTTTTTGCAAGTTCATCCTACTTGCCATTGCTTATTTGAGACACACACCACACACTGTGAGCCATAGGATACTACAATATACAGCATTTTGGGCCATCTAACCTGCATGAAGTTGTATGTCCCTTGCATCTGGGCCATGAGGTCTTGCACTGCCTGCTTTCTAACCACAGGATCAGTATCAGGAGTGGGAGAAACTTGGTTCACAGTAATGGTTTGTTCTGGAGCCAGCTGAACAGGGGGCTGATGCTGGAGTGAATTCACCATCTATTCAGCACAGACACATGACAGGCACATTAGAATCAAACTCACGGCATTGGAAAGTAGGTTTCAAGGCACCGAGGACTGATGATTCAGTAATAGAGCATACCTGGGCCTCCACACTCCACTCCTCGACTTGGTCTTTGTCTGTACTGCTGTATGTAGTTTCTGGAATGAACTGTCTGTTTACAAACTGCAACAGAAGACAGTACACTAAAATGTGATATAACAATTTAAGGAAAGAGTTGATCTGTGTGGGTTCTTGTGCAGCATAAATACAAATCTCACCTCTATAGTTTCCACTTTAACGGGCTCTGTATTTTTTTCACTAGCGAATCCTATATTAAATGAAAAATATACATGAGGATGGCTTTCTTTCTGGGTCTCTCTCACACACACACACACACACACACACACCATTTGCTAATTGTTAGCTACCAGGTTCCGATGGCTGCTCCACAGCTTTAGACTCAGCCACCACGGTCTGTTCCTCTTGCTCTTCTTCCTCCTCGCATGTCCCATTTTGATGAGTTTGCGCTCTGTCAAAGTAACCACTCTGCAGCACTTTGTCCAGGGTTTCCTTCAGTGACTTGTCTGGAATAAGAGAACACCGAAGCTGTTCAGACTTTCCTATTATCACAAACCACAATGGACGATTAAGGTCTGCCTCCGTTTTCTTACACAGTCAGTACAATCTGCAAGAGAAGTCCTGCAACAGCTGGTATGAGCCAATCTCAGAATTAACCGAGTGAATCAAATGTTGTGTGAAGGGATGAAACAACAGATACAATAAACTGGGGCCGATCAGATGTCTTGAACAATCTAACTACTAACAATGAGTGCAAGTGAGTTTCCGCCTGTGTGGATAGGTGCACACACCAAACATTTTCTTTAAGATATTTTTTTTCTTACTGCACTTAAGATGAAGGCATGAAATAAATATCAACTAGCCACATGTTAAGCCTCTCCATTTTAAGGCATTTTCCACAAGTGCTTTAAATATAGTTTAAAAATAGTTTCTTTAAAAAAAAAGAAAGAAAAAAAAAAGGTATGTGTATGGGTGATGAACGATATTAAGACATGAAAATACTTACACGTGGTCCCTGCTACAGCCTTGTCTCGACCCTCAAGCAGTTCCCACAGGTGTAGTGATGCTTCTTCATATTGGCGAGTCAACCTGCAAATCACAAAATAAATGCAATTAATTGCACAGAGTAGTAGTAGTTAGAGCTGGGCGATATGAGATTTTTTCATATCACGATATGTTTTTTTCATTTCAGGCGATAACGATATCTATCACGATATAAGCCAAATAACTATATTTGTAAGATTTAAATGTGCCGTTGCTCACAAGTAAAATGTGAAATAATCAGCAGCTTGTTTTGATTTAAATATTTATTTCCCATAATAAGTTCAACAGGGTAGATGTACTTAAGGAACATGAGACTTTTTCAGATAAATAAAGGCAAATATTGCAAAACTACACAAAAGGCAGCCGCTAAAGCGTTTAAGTTTCAAAACAGAACAAACAAAACAGACTAAATTGTCAATTCCACTTAGAAACAAAATATTAATTCTAAAAATAAATCTTAGTTTGTTTTACAGAAGAACAGACAAAACTGACTAACTTTTGTCAATATCAAATAAACTGAGAACTAAAAGGAAATTCTCAATCTCTCCTTGTTGTATAGCTGAGCTTTTCAAACAGTTTTAACAGTTACTTTAGTCTGACAAAAGCCGAATGACGAATTAGCGCTTCCAGTCAGAGACTGAGGCTACGTTCACACGTACACGGGTATTTTTGAAAACTGAGATTTTCCGTTTTCGTTTTAAAAAAAGAATCCCGTCCACACATAAAGGCAGAAATGAAGGAAAACGCTGCTATGAACATGCCAAAGCAGCAGGTGGCGCTAGATTCCTAACCGTGCCGAAATGTTGGCCAATCAGAAGTCTAGAAGCCTCGGTGGGAAAAAGTAAACAAAGCTGGGGCATAGAAGCAGAACCGAGTCGTATGTGTGGAGGGACAGTAACTGTGTGTATATGTAAGCATTTAAACACTGCAGAGAGTAGAATTAACAGTAACAGTATTGTAGAAATTCATTTCACCGAAACAATAACGTGGCGCACAGTGTGACGCATGCTCCAGTTTATTGTATTTCCAGACTTGCTTTCGGCACAATTTACAGTGCACGCTACTCTATTTTTTGTCAGACTTGAAATAGCCGAAATACCTTCACACTACGGAACTTCTATGGCTCTTCCGTTTGACAATCTCTCCGGCATTGGAACCATCATCTGTTTTCTCTTCGGTCACGCTCGGTTGATTTTTCTAGTCGGCACACTCATTTCCTCCATTACCCGCTGGCTGCTTCCCAAACAAACACACGTGCGGCTTGGCACTTGTGCTGTACGTAACAAGCCACGCGACGTGACGCTGCGGCTGTGATTGGTTCGGCTCTGCGCTACTTAATTTGGATTGGCTGGTCTATCGCGATAGCTTAATTTCTCTATCGAGTAAAAGTTATATCGCGATACATATCGTTATCGTTCTATCGCCCAGCTCTAGTAGTAGTATATAGTTTTTTTTAGAGCAGGATTAAAAAACAAAACCAAAAACATATTTAAGCACTGATAACTCTAAATGTAACTTCTGTACCAGTGACAGCACACAGGTACGCGCGTACCTTACATCGTAGTTCCTCTCAGGTCCTACCAATTTGTAAAACTCATCGAGGGATGAGAGTTCAGCATCAGTGAGCAAAGGCGCACCAGAGGCATCGGGGTGTTTAAGGTCCTGCCTGACACCGTCTTCTCCCAGCTGGTCGAGTAAATACTGAAGCTCCAAAACACTCTTCAATCGTCTTTGTTCAGTCTCTTCTCGCTGCAGCTGTTCCCGTCTTGCAGATTTCTTGACTGCCTTTTGAATCTGAACACATCCAGGCACAATTTCATGCATTTAGCTTCACAAGATAACACACACCCATTACGTTCACTCTGTACATCACTGCACTTTGAAAAAAAAAAAAAAAAAAAATCAAAAAGGTCAATGAGCATGGTCAAAACAATTATTCGCTTCCCTGTTCACTCCATCTGGCACTTTAAGCTTTTGTGAGCCATTTGGGAGTATTTCATAAATTACACCAGGTGTTGCCAACTGATTGTTTTATGGCAATAAAGAATGTACGTTACAAAAAATTACTAGGGCAGAGAATGAATAAGGATTTGCAGATGCCACTAAAGAGCACAACAAGTGTCTAAAAGCTTTGCAATTAGGTATTTTAATTATACAGTGGGATGCAAAAGTTTGGGCAACCCTGTTAACAGTCATTATTTTCCTGTATAAATCGTTGGTTGTTATAATAAAAAATAAATGTCAGTTAAATATACCATATAGGAGACACACAGTGATATTTGAGCAGTGAAATGAAGTTTATTGGATTTACAGAAAGTAAATGGCCTGTATTTGTATAGCGCTTTACTTTGTCCCCAAGGACCCCAAAGCGCTTTACACATTCAGTCATCCACACAGTCACACACTGGTGATGGCAAGCTACATTGTAGCCACAGCCACCCTGGGGCGAGGCTGCCGGACACTGGCGCCACCGGGCCCTCTGACCACCACCAGTAAGCAACAGGTGAAGTGTCTTGCCCAAGGACACAACGGCCGAGACTGTCGGAGCCGGGGCTCGAACGGCAACCTTCCGATTATAAGACGAACTGCCAACTCTTGAGCCACGATCGCAAGTGTGCAATAATTGTTTAAACAAAATCAGGCAGGTGCATAACTTTGGACACTGTTGTCATTTTATTGATTCCAAAACCTTTAGAACTAATTATTGGAACTCAAACTGGCTTGATAAGCTCAGTGAAACCTGACCCCACATACACAGGTGAATCCAATAATGAGAAAGAGTATTTAAGGGGGTCAACTGTAAGTTTCCCTCCTCTTTTAATTTTCTCTGAGAGTTGTTTTGAGATCCCCAAGCTGCTACTCTTCAAATGACCTGAAGACAAAGATTGTTCACCACCATGGTTCAGGGGAAGGATACAGAAAGCCTTCTCAGAGATGTAAGCTGTCTGTTTCCACAGTTAGGAACATATTGAGAAAATGGACGACCACAGGCTCAGTTCAAGTTAAGGCTCAAAGTGGCAGACCAAGAAAAATCTCGGATAGACAAATGCGACGAATGGTGAGAACAGTCATAGTCAACCCACAGACCAGCACCAAAGACCTACAACATCATCTTGCAGCAGATGGAGTCACTGTTCATCATTCTACCATTCGGCGCACTTTACACAAGGAGATGCTGTATGCGAGAGTGATGCAGAGGAAGCCTTTTCTTCACCCACAGCACAAACAGAGCTGCTTGAGGTTTGCTAAAGCACATTTGGACAAGCCAGCTTCATTTTGGAATAAGGTGCTGTGGACTGATGAAACTAAAATGTAGTTATTTGGGCATAACAAGAGGCGTTATGCATGGAGGAAAAAGAACACAGCATTCCAAGGAAAACACCTGCTAGCTACAGTAAAATATGACTCGCCATGAGCTGTCCATGCTTGGAAGCCATCAAACCTGAATGAACTAGAGATGTTTTGTAAAGAGGAATGGTCTAAAATACCTCCAACCACAATCCAGACTCTTATTGGAACCCACTGGAAGCGTTTAGAGGCTGTAATTTCTGCAAAAGGTGGCTCTACTAAATATTGATTTCATTTCTTTTTTTGTGGTGCCCAAATTTATGCACCTGCCTGATTTTGTTTAAACAATTATTGCACAATTTCTGTAAATCCAATAAACTTCATTTCTCTTCTCAAATATCACTGTGTGTGTCTCCTATATGATATATTTAACTGACATTCTTTAATGTAACAACCAACGATTTATACAGGAAAATAATGACTATTAACAAGGTTGCCCAAACCTTTGCATCCCACTGGATCTATAAAAAAATAATTGATGCATACTGATTTTTAGTATGCGTGTTTAAGACTTCATCAGCAAGTTAAAAGCACACCTATAGCTCAGGACTCACCTCCTGACCCAATGCGAGAAAGCTCTTTTGCAATTCTCGAGCAAACTCTAAGTTGTTGTTGATCTCTTGATACTTCGCCAAGGCCTCCTTCATGCACAACACGGAAAGAAAATCAGATGTTTTTAACAGGAAATGATTTAAAGCAGGAGGTAGTAACAACTAAACATGCAATACTTTCATAACACTTGAATGTGAAACATAACTTCATATAAGTTTGTTACATACACAAAGCTGTTTGCAAATAAGCTGGGACACAGTAAAAGCTAAATAAAAATAGAGTGACTTGAAAATAATTTAAAGCCCATGTTTAAATAGTGCACAGAAAACATTTCAAATGTTGAATCATTTGAAATGCAAATGTTTAACGTTAAAAATATCATTGCTTTTAATTGTGCAATATTTAGTGCTACCAAGCATAACTCTGACCTTCAGTGTTCTCTGGGATATAAAAAACAATCAATGTCTAAAGTCACCAGTCAAAAAAGAAAATACTTCAGAAGTTTGGCAACTGGGTTTGCAGATCTTTTTTCCCCCTCTAAGTTAAACTTAAAGACTTTTATAATGGCTCTTTCATTCCACCAGAGCACTTGAACAAATACTGTGATAATGGGCATTATTAAGAGAGTGAGTGAAGAAAAGCAAGACTGTTGAGATATATATTAGGGGTGCAACGATACACAAAATTCACGGTTCGGTTCGATACTTTGGTGTCACGGTTCGATATTTTCTCGATACAAAAAAATGTTCATGCCTTTTTAATTTGTCATTTATTAAAACTATAAATATATATTTTAACTCAAAAGTAGTTTTTAAATTTAATGTTGCTGAAACAAAACAAAACAAAAAAAAACAAAAAACAAAAAAAACAAAAAAACAAACCCTCTGGTCGAGGAATCACTCATCTTTGGAAAAGAGTTTATTACAGAGAAATGGCTCTTTCCAAAAATAAAAGCTACACTATACGCTTCTTCTGGGCTATATTCTCAGCAGCATATTAAACATATCAGGTCCCCATAAGGAGAATCATGTGCTAACGGCTGTCTAAATGACTCGGGTAAAGTTTGTAGCATGCGTGCTTGTTGTTTTTGTCTGCTTCCACTTGTCTTTGCACTACGATGATGTCGGCGTAAATGTGCAGTCATATTTGTTGTGTTCCCACTAGTGCTGTCAGCGTTAAAATGACATTAATGCCATAACGCGGCAAATCTCCCTTAACGAGTTACCGCGGATCGCCCCGTGCGTGGGGCTGGATGGCGTCAACACAATAACGAGCTAACTGCGCTAACGCACTAGTTCCCACCACTGTAATTGAGCATTGCGTGGCACATCCGACATACTGTTTTACTTTTGTCCATCAGGGTCATGCTTCCACATTAAAACCAAAATAGTTCCAAACGCCAGATCTGAATGAGGGTGGGGGAGGTTCAATTTCAGGTAGAGTTGAGGCAGTTGCCATGTTGCAACGAGCTTAGCTTCTGTCTTGCTAGCTTGCGCTGCGCTCAGTGGATCTGCGCTCGACAGTGCAGCCTAGGCGGAGTAGTTGAACGCAGATCCACTGAGCACTCAACACAGACAGCATCGTCACAAGAAAGGTTTTGTATTGTTCGATACATATCCGTACCAAACCGAAAGCACTGTATCAACGATTCAACACCGATACATGTATTGTTGCACCCCTAATATAAATACAGCGTTAGAGTGACTGGAAATCCTTGCATTTGACAGAATTTACATTTGATCCTGCGACAAAACAAAGCTGTGTCCAAATGAGAAGCAGTTTTGTTTTCTTACCAGCTGATCCTGATTTAGTCTCTCGCCCTTATTCTTCCTTGCCTGGTAGTCATCCAGTTTGGACTGCAAGAAGGTTTTTGAAAAACAAGAAATTTGACATTAAAGTTGAATTCAAATAAAAAGAGCAAACGTATTAAAAAATGTCATCATTAGGTTTATTACCACTGTGGATTTATATTTTAAGGCAGTTTGATGACATTTCTCACACAATCTTAACAAATTATGAGCAAGACAGAGGAAAATCTGGATATCATAATTAGTGCTACAGTCTATTAAGTGGATTCATTGGGGAAGGGGAAACCTGTTATAAAGCCAGTTGAAATTTAAAGTACCTACTCCAACATTTTTCTGATTTTCAAAACACATCCCAACACCTGCATTCTCCCAAATCAGTATGTTTGATAATTATATATTACTGTATGTCATTATATATTGACAAAAGCATACATTTTCCAGCATCCACAACAACAGACAAAACAGATAAAAGCTTTACACCCTATTTGAGGTTAATCCAAAGCGAAGTTTACTCTAAGATGATAACTATAGATACCTTTTTCTTTTCCATATTGCGGACCTTCTTGTCAATCACACCAATAATCTGCTTCATGGCCTCAGAATGACTTCCATTTCCCAGGTCTGGAATGGCAGACTGGACAGCACTGTTGCCAGCTGTTGCTGAAGGCATCTTTGGGAGGGAAACATGTAAATATTACAATTAAAATTTGGACCTGAATAAAACAAACAAGTAATCCTAACTTAAGATGTTAGCAGAAGAAGACAAACTATTTCAAAGCCTAAGAACTAGATCGTACACTTATGTCTTCAACCAGGTTACAAAATGCTGTTAAGGTCATGCTCTGCAGTCTCAGACTTTCAACCTGCAGTTACTGTATCTGACACCCATCAGAAACAAGGTTTCCTAGAACAGAGCTCACAACTGGATATTTACTACGCATGCACATACAGACTTGTATAAACAACTTATATTATACTTTGATTATAAATTTTTGTTTTATGATATTTGTTGCATAGATCCACGACAATTCTAAAAGATTTTTAAAGGGTTATGTATCTTGAGATGCTTGTGCACATTTCAACATAACTGTCTGCACTGTGATACTGTAGGGATGTTCTGTATTTTGAGGATTACACAAATGATTACAGACACATTGCCCTTTTCCATTTTTGTCCAAGTCTAGCAATAAACAGTAATTAAGCTGAGCACCACCCGATTCAACTGATACCTGTGGACGAAATGGACCCACAGTTGTTGCTTAAATGTACCTTTCATTGTCAACTGTGTATTAAATAAAAGCCTAAAAACGATCTCTCTCTCTAGATAGAGAGATAGAAGTGGTACCGTATGAATTGTTATTTGTACTGTATTGCCCGGTAATCTCTAATATAAACTGAGCTCATGCTGAGTTCAGCTGGTAAGATATCCACTTTATGTAACGCCAGCAGTTTCACGTTTTGAACTTTGAGGACCCTGCTTCAGCGACCCTCCAAGCTCCACATTAGGACACCAAACCCTGACTCAAGCCCAAATACCCGGGCCGGTGAAAGTGATACTTACCGATGTGATCCCTTATTAAGGTTTGAGGGCTAATTAAATCGATACGTCGAGATACAACCTCCTCTTGGACGATAAGTTGTTGGCTGGTAACAGCAATTATTGGGGTGAGCTTTGAAAAAAAAAATCAGAACACCACATCCAATATAACAGAGGAAGTTAAAACAACATAAAAATGTCGGGCCTCCTATTCAAAGTTAAAGTCTTTTAGCGTCTGTGGAGAAAGAGGCTAGCCTTACTGACAGATGCTAACAACACAAAAATCCGCATCATAACGTAAGCCTCGAAACTCTTATCTGCGGCTTAGTTGCCAAAATAAACTTTCACTGGTGAGAGCTCGACGTTAGCTAGCCATGCCAAATCAGTTTAATAAGCATAGTGCGCTCGTACTAATCTCCGCGTCCCATTGTTAGCCGAGCGTGGTCGGTAACGATGTGCTGCTAAAGCCCCGAGTTCAACGGTTGTCACTCAAAACCAAAGGTTAAATCCATATGAAACAGCCATTACAGACCCCCAGGACAAGCCATCGTTTCGGGACGTTTAACGTTAACTGCGAAAAACAAAGAGCACCTCGGGACGCCGAGACAACTCGTTTTCGCGCAGCCGTCTCGAATCCAGATGATAAGGACGGTTTATTAAAAAGACCTAAAATGACAGTGACCTCGTGAAAGCCATACCTTTAAGACTCTTTGTCTTCAAAGAGATCTCGTTGGTCTCGTTTTACTTTAGCTGTGTGGCGTTAACTGCGGTTCGATATCTTTCACTTCAAGCGGTGTTTTTCTAGAAGGATGCTCCGACTTACACCGGCCAATGGCTGCTTAGCTGCTGCAGAGCTAACGGTAGCAGCTAAAAGGACCCCACTGCTAACCTCGACGCTGCCTTCTTCTTCTTGGTTTTTATTGGTGGTTGAGAAACAACGAATTGGTGCATTACCGCCTCCAACTGATAAGGAGTAGGTACCGGAATGTCACTAAGTATTAGATCCTATCATACAAATTCATTTGTCTAAGATCATTAAATATTGCCTCATAACTTTTACTTGTCGTGGTATTTCTAAATAAATCAATTCAATCCTGTTTCAGTTTGATTATGTTTAGGTTTTGAATCAGTTGTCTTCTTTCTTTCTCATACTTCTGACAGTGTAATATAACATGCTCTAATGTCTCATCACAGTACTCTCATTTAATTGGCAATGTTTCCCTTAAAATGTATAGTGTGCATTTTAGCCCAGTGTGTCCAAATCTGAGACATGAAATGACTGTTTCCTCTCTCCTCCTGCTTCCTGACAAATATATTTCTGTACCACATGTGAGTTTAACATTTTCTTGCATTTGTCTTTAATTTTCTAAATATGTATGGCCCATGTAACCCTCTCAAATCAAACCCCAAGAAATTTGAATTATTTCCTCTTTCTAGTTCTTGATTCTATAACTTTCGTTTAATGTCCTTACCAATTCTTTTTCATGTAAAAACAAAACAAAACATTGTCTTGGTCTTATCCACTGAAAATTTTAATCCCCACTTATGTGTCCATTCTCCAACTTTAAAAATTGCTTCCTACACCTTTCTAGTAACAAACTCTACATAACGTCTTCTCTTCCACATGGTGCCGTCATCTGCAAAAGGAGAAAATGCCATTCGACTGTCTTTATTATGAAACATCATCAATTAAAATAATAAGGGACTCACTATAGTCCCCCGTGGTGTTCCATTTTCTACTATATACTTCTCATAATAATTATTCCCTATCCTTACTTGTATTTGCCTTCTTGAGAGAAAATCCTTTATCCATCTGTACATTCGCTGTGTGATGCCTGTCTTCCCCATTTTAATGAATAAGCCTTCTCTCCGTCAAAGCTGTCTCGCTTTAAAACAGACAGACAGGGGTCTTATGAGTCCCACTGTTCAGTCTTTTCTTTCTCTTTTAATTGCATATTCTTATTGAGAATTATGGAAATTTGAAGATAAAATCACTGTAAACACACCTTTGATTCCACTTGAAATTCATCTTAAAACTGTTTCCTTTTTACTTCTTAACCATTTCTTTGCATTCATCTCAAAGCTAAATATAGCATGCATATTTTAATTTATTTTTTATTCACGTTTTTAAAATTAAAAATTATTTAAACAGTGTTGGGGGACTCAGACTCTTATCTTTTTGTCAGTGTCATTATCTCCAAGCCATCACAGGAGGTTTCACTACATCCTTTAAATTTTTCCTTTCACTCTTGCTGGTATCCATCTGTCCCAAATCACCACTGACCCTCGTCTGTCGTTACTTTGGATAACTGACCTCAGGTATTTAAACTCACCGTCACTACCTCTACTCTTTGCAGCTTCCCTGTTAAACCTTTCTCCCTCTCATTCACAGACATGTATTCTGTCTTGCTTATCCTGACATTTATACTGACTCACCTGCCCCCTACTCTCACTACAGATCACAGTGTCAACTGTGAATATCAAAGGGCAAAGACACTCCTGCCTGACCTCATCCATCCATCATCCCTGCAAAAAAAAAAAAAAAAAGGATTTAGAGACAATCACTTCTGTGTGTGTAATTTTCTCTTCTTTATTGTACGTCAGCAGAAGCAGCCAATGCTGTCTTGACCAACTGGATGAACTTGAAAAAAGTAGTGCGATTTTCTGTGTGCCTTGTAATTTCAATAAGCTTAAATAGTATTAGTAATAGTAGTAGTATTAGTAGCAGTATGCATATCCCACTTTTAAGACACGTCTCAAACAATGGCTGGTGGCAAACCATGTCAAATGGAGCAGGACATTAATGATCAGAGTGAAATGAGCCCGCCTGGTAATAGCAAAGACTGAACAGAAGATGGCGCTTGTGTCTCAGACACCTAGAAAAAGCTCACGCTTGAAACAACATGAAAAACCATCTCTAAATGTACAACTCTTTGTCTTTTTCACTCTGCGGGGTGTAGTGATAACTGTTGAAATGAAGAACATAAATTCAAAAGTGAAGCAGCTCATAGAACTATATTTTTACTTTTTAGTTCAGGCATCAGACTGACTTTAATGCACTGAAACACTAAACAAAACGTAACTAAGAAGAGAATTTATGTGCTTTTTAATCAAACACAAGGCATTTTCCACTCGTATCTTTGTATCTTTAATAGTTTTAGGCCATAATCGAATTTAAAAAAACGGTCTTTGTGAGAAGTTCCACTCCCTCACATTTCACATCATATAAATGACCATGTATAATTGCACCAATATTGCTAGAAGATCAGACCTTTTCAGTGAACTTTGAATACTGAATAGTTGATTTTCACACCTTTTCTTTCGTGATCCTCATGTCTGGTTTCCACCCCATGCTGAGCATGTCTATAAGTGGTAAGGTGGATCTGTAGGTCCTCTCCTTCTGATGTGGGTTGCTGAGTAATGGCCATACATCCCTCAGTGCTCCTCTCCTGCAGCACATCTGACTGGATTAAATATGTGCAGAGGATTTATTGGCTGAAAAACCACAAGAGCCTCACACCACTTGTAGTGGCGTCCAGGCAAACACACAAATTCATCTGCCCCTTTCTCTCTCTTAACGCTCTCCCTTTCAAACTCATAGGCTGTAAATGTTTTGTCCATTTGTGTTTTCTCACTCTTCCTTATCTTCCTTCCAACCATGCCACTAGCCTGTTTTTTCAAGGTGGATTAAAGTTTTTCCACTCACAGCCTCTCTCTTCAGCATTAATAATTCATGACCCACATGTGTTGCAGACAGATTACAAACATCTCCACTTAACTGCCATAATTATCATTATTGCAGCCAGAGAATTTCATTCACCATCATGCAATTTGCGATTTTAAGCGACTGAGGTTTGATTTTGGAGCGTGGATCAAAGGTGGATTTGTTTACAAATGCTCTCCTTCGCGGAAAGCTATGATGATTAGAATCCCCATTTGGTTGAATTTTAGAACCAAGTGCACCAGTCAGTTCACAGGCGATGCCTTTGGAAATGTGGCCGCTTTTGAAGATGCTGCATGACGTATGACGTCCTGTGCCACATGGAGCTGCTGAGAAACTGTTTGCCAACATCTTTCTCTGTGAGGCTGCTGTTCTTACGTTCTGTCTGTTTCGTATGTAGAGTGTAAAAGAGCTCAAAAGGTGACATAGCAGCTGGAGAGAAGCAGATGGTGCTGACCGCAGCGATCCATCATGGCATGTGTCCGTCCATATGCACTGTGAGTTACGCTGGTGTTTAGAATGTTAGCTTGCCTCGCATAATTGTTCTCCTTCATTTAGGTAACTCAAAGCTAAAACAAACTGTGATATCAGGAGTTATTCAAAAACACATTATGGCAAATATCCAGTATAAAGCAAATAATTAGCATGCTTGTGGCAGGAAGGATCATCTTTCCACAGACTCACATAGAATCTGCAATATCTCTGTAAACCGTTATTTAGCATGGCCTGTACACAATGGGCGAAAAACATGAATCGATAGAAATATAACAAAGATGTAGACACATATTAAAGGAAAAATAAGTATATCTGTTTATAAGTCACCAATGTTGCGAAAGAAGACACAATTATTTCCTGAAAGTTTTTTAAAAAGCCAGGATTTCCTCTTTTAGCATGTTTGAGTTTTCTCTAAGTCCTTAATCGGCTTCAGAGAACCACACAGAAGACAATGAATAGACAATGATATTATATCAGACATATCATGTTATGATTTATGTCACAGCTGGTAATGATATGGTTGGTTGTGATAGGAAAATAAGAAGAGAGCTTCAGCTCAGAACATCTGTTTTGCATATTATGCAGCATAAAACTGTAATATTTCAATTCTAATGTGTAATTCTTAATATCCACAGCATTGTTATAATTAAATAGGAACCAGAATGTGGGCCAAACCCAAGAGAATAAATTGACCAAATAAATGGACTGTGAGCAAAGAGAAAGTCTGGAAGTGTATTGGAAGGAAGATATTAGAAGTAAAGGTAAAGAAATTCTACCTCATTTCTGTAACTAAAGAGTTACAATTAAATGTGTCCTTTGTCATAACAAACAACTGTGGACGAAGTAGCAAAAAATGACATTATGTGTTTTTTTTAATCACATGTCAGAAACTGTATGGAAATATCGCTCACACATGGCAAGTATAGAGAATGTGCACAGCTGCGTTTGCAGCCTATAAGTCATCATTGTTTTTGTTTCTTTTCACAGAATTTGCATCTATATTAGAAACAGAGGGGAAAATTAACTGTGTCTTCCATATATTTGTCAGCTGGTAACTCAGCAGTAGCTGACTCTGCTTCTCGTTCAAAAACTGTTCTTGCATTTCCATGTTATAGCACTTAAATCCATGC